TCGCAGGTCACAATAACACAGTGAATAAAACTATTTCTTGAAATTCCGATGAAAATAAAAATTTCCTTTAGTACTTTTTGTTCGGGGTCACCAATTTGGGGGTTGCGTACATCGTTCAATTCACCAGAATATTCAGTGTCAACTTCGACTAGGATGGTTTGGATATAGGAAGTTAAACGCTTCTTAAGTATTCAACGAATTTTATAATTATCAAGACCACTGAAAATTATCTTCTTGCGTTGCTACTCACTCGCAGAGATTATGTAATAATCATTGTACACCAGAGACATAAACAATATGAAAACTATAAAGAGTATAATTTCTAGGTACATAAATTTCGCTACAGACGGTTGTGCAAAGTGTAACGTGCAAATAACTAGTGCTTTGGAAATTAATACTAAAAAACTATGATCAATTATTAAATTTTAAATTCATAATTAAATCATCTTAAAAAACATTCAGCAATCAACAAGAAACGTCTGTTCTATACGAACAGCAAGGTTATAAATTTAAATTTCAAAATCACAAGGACACGTACAGGTATTATACTATTGCTATTGATCTTGCATGTCGACGGTGGACGTCGAGTCATGTGTTAGGTTAATTCGTTTGGTGTTAATAATAATAGATTGACTTCCTACACAACCTACTCTAGAAATCAGTTTTATTGAAATATAATAAATTATTTACTAAGTACCTGGAGTAGTTATGCTCTCTTAAAATCTTTGTAGTGGTGTCGTGTGCGTTAGGTCGTTACGTTCCCTCAAATATAGTGTAGTTGAGTTGTATAGTTGAAATTAAAAAAGCAACCCTTGCTGAGTTTCTTGCCGATTCTTGTTAATATAAGTTCTCCCGCCTTAACAGCCTAGTCTGAATTAATTTTGATATTTATATTAATATCATTCGTTTTGTGGATACATAATGAATGACACACACAAATACAAGCTGAATGAATTCTGCGCTCCGTTTTTGTTCTTAATTCCAAACCCGAATTCGGATGAAAGTTACGAGCAACCAATAAGTTGGCTCATCACTAATGTTGTCGTATAAACCAAACATCGTTCCTTTACACGTAACATAATAAACAACTTAAACTTACGATTAAAATAAATTAAAATTTATTTGAAAGTTAGATTTTGTTAGAAATTGTGTAAAAATATGTCTGCAGCTTTGTCTTACTTCTTCTTGCTGAAGTTCTTCTTCTTCTTCTTTTTTAATTAATGGCTTATCTGCGCATTTCGCACAATTCTGCCAATGTCAAGTAAATTAATTAATTTTTACATGTCAAATGAAAATGAGATGAATGAAAGATGGCGATGATCGACCACAGCTGAAGTTGTTTAATTCTTTGACCAATTATTTGATTTCCCTTCAAAACGCATAAATCCTCAATTATTTGATAGTGTCAATGGAGCATCGATAAACAAAAAAAGCATAAAGGAAAAGAGCGTCATTCTCTCTGGCCAAAGGCATTTGAAATTTTAGAAAAACTTAAATATGTGTATAAAAAGGTATGCAAATATCAGTGCCCTCTTTAAAAAAAATGTGATTACCTTGAAAAGTTTTATAAGGTTGTGCCACTAAAAAACGTAGCTAAGAATTGCCGAGAATGCAGAAGAAAGCTGTGAAAAATATAATAAGTTGAAAAATAAATTATTCAATAAATAATATTGGAAAAATGTGTGTTTCATTTACGTGTTCGTTTTTCCTTTTTTGTTTTAATACAACTATAATAATAAGCTAGACTTATCAGTCTGCTTTATTGTTATTGTTGTATTAAAACAAAAAAGGAATTTAAATTAAAGTAAAAATAATGTGGAATGTGGGAAGACGGCTAGGTACGGTCGGCCAAGAAAGTGGTCTACCAGTTTTGACAACATTTCCCGTGTCTTTAAAGCATCGCTAAAGGCGAATCTTAGAATTGCATACAAACAATAAAAGAGATGCACAATGCTGACGTGTTGTCGTAGAGCACAAATGTTATTTTGACCTTTGCAGCCTATGCATTAGATAATAATTTGCAACAACAAATAGTCTTCACAATATTTCATAAATTTAAAATTTAAGTAGGTCACTTCAAAGTGGAAACTATTTTGTTAAGAAAACTCTTTTACTGAAAAAGAATATATCACTTGACAATTCATGTCAAATATTTTCTCGGCATTTTCCGTAGGTATTTTCCTAATTAATTTACACTACAATGCCCCGAAATTTATCCATTAACGAAAGAGCACAAATATTCGGTTTGAATATTAGTGAGATTTCTAGAGAATTAAATGTGTCGGTAAGTATTATTATGTCTGACGTGAGTTTAATGTAAAATCTCAGACCAAGTCCGAGTGTAAAATTTTTTTTTTATTTTTTCTGTTCATATTTTATTTTTTATTATAGAGACAAGCTGTCCGTCTTTGGATAAGACGAGAAAGCGAGGAGGGGAATTTGAACGCTCGGAGTCGTAGCGGTCGTAGACCTGAAATATCAGATACTCAGCGAGTCTTCATGAGACGGAGTTATGAGGAATCTGGCTTTATACCAACGCGTTATTTTGCCGACATATTTGACGTGACTCTCCAAACCATTAGAAACCATTTACCATGGGCTTACATCACAGGCGTTATGCAAAGAAAATTTATATGAATGACGCTCATAGAATGGCCAGATTAAATTTCGCCATAGAATATTTGGATTTTGATTGGAGTAACACTGTTTTCTGTGACGAGAAAACTTTTAAATCCAGTCAACACGGGCGTCTACACCTTTGGCGATTCAATAAAACGCGATACACGCAAAATCATGTCGTGCCAAATAGAGAATCGGGTCGTATCTCGGTAAATTTGTATGGATGGATGACTGCTGATGGTGTTGGAGACTTGACCTTTTTGCCACCACGAGCAACGGCATCAGATTATGTTGATGTTCTCCAAAATGCTATGTTGCCATCCGTCCGGAACGTTTATCCAGAAAATGAAATGCGTCAATTTAATTATTTACAGGATAACTGTCCCTTACATAAAGCAAGGGTAACACGTGCTTGGTTTGATGCACATCCGGAAATAAACTTGATACCATGGCCTGCAAAATCGCCAGATCTCAACCCTATTTAAAATATGTGGGGTCTTATGGTTCAGAGATGGTGTAACCGTAATGAACGAACAGCAGAAGCACTACAAGGGCACTGCAATGAGGTTTGGGAGGAAACACGTGGGTCTGATATCTGCTCAAGACTGGTGGGCTCGATGAGGGAACGTCTCCAAGCTGTTATAGAGGCAGATGGCGGCTACACAAGATTTTAAGAATTATAATTTTATAAAAGAATTGTATATATTTTTTAACAACCAAAGAATTAGCATTTTCACTATCTCATCTAGTTTTAGCCCTTGTCTCGCACTAAGATATGGGTCGGCGCAATATGTGTTTCATCGCTATTCATTTCTGTTATCCGTTATCTCAGTATATTCAGACCTATAACACGCATAGCTTCTTACGCATAGCATTTCACTACCTACTGATTTTTTTTATTTGTATTAAAATATAATTAATCTACATTCTAATGTAGGATATTTGTAGACTATAAGACTTTATTTACGATATTCTAACTCTAAAGTATTTAAACATACAAACAGACAGACAGAAAAAGAATATTTTTGGCTTCTATTAGTCTTATGAAGGCCGTCCATATATTTTTTTTCCAAAATATCTTATGTCCATATATTTTTTTTCCTAAATATGTTACCTTGTTACATTTTTATTATAGGTATAGATAATTACTGTCAAAGGTTACGTCAAAATGATGAAGATAGCAATAATGACGTGTACTTAACGTGTCAAAAAATTAATGCTACGGAAAATCAACCTTGTTGTTAGTTGACGTAACACGCGAAATTCAACCTTAGGGTGGTAGACCACTTTCTTGGCCGACTGTACCTACCCAAAACAGGGCTGTATAGCTAAATGCCTTTGCCGATAGTAGATCTATATATTTAAAACGAATGAAGCTGTCATGTATCACTGGCTCCCAATCACGTTCTACGAAGAAATTTTTTGTTAGGAAGTTGGTCGTCTGAGGGCGCTTGTGCACTACACTGAATTTTCAGGTCCGGCGGTCCTTAGGAGTCTAAGCGTAACAACACTTATTTATCTTACCTTAAGTTATCGATACTTTTAATATGATTCTAAGATCTAGCTAAGTATTGATACTAGAACCATACGCTGATCAAATTAGAACTATACCGAGTTTGCCAAAGCATAATATGAAGTGATATTTACCAACTATATTAAATCGTCATATAAACTATATCATTTTATAATCTACAATAAATATCGATTATGAGTTAAGTGTTAAGTGTGGTTTATGGCCGTCGACAAACAAAATTACCGGAAAAACAGTTCCTTTATTCACTAAATGTGGATGTAAAGCATTTTTAATGTTATCATGGAATATATCTGCTTTTATCCAACCCTTGTCACCGAGTGCTATGCCCTAATCATAGGGGACTTTGGCGGTTATTTCACTAGGTAGATGTTTGTATGGGAAGATGACCATTGGTGGTGTTGTATCTCCACTTCCCGTGACTGTAAACATCACATTTTTTTTCGCGTCTCGCTGCTAACACAATACCAGTTTTGGGAAATAGTAAAAAATTAGTGTCATCTCCGTTTAGAACTCTGGATTGGAAAGAACTTCAAAAAACTGGTTTTCTTTTATATAACACTATATTATCAAACATTTTCGTGTATCATTTTCGGCAACAATCGAACTAGGGGACCTTTCTAAAAACAATCTTAATCATTTTTCACCAGGTGTACTACTTTTAAATGGATTTAGTCTATTGGTATTCTGTTTAAATTTTGCAACGCTGTTTTGCAAATCCTCTTTTGTTTAGGGAAAACTTTTCTGCCATTCTCAATAATCTGTTGGTGGCCCTGGGCGAGGATTCACTTTGTCTTGGTTATTAAGCCGGAACTGAATCGTCGATCATGGTATTTGAACTGTTTGGCACCTAACATTTCTCCTTGCACAGCATCTAAAGCTCTTTTTAAATAATTTTCATCATATGTTTTTCTTTTCATGGAGCACTCGTATGCTTGTTCGATAAATAACAATATTGTAATCTGTTAGATAGCCGTAATTGGCCTTGTGTACTTCCAGGCCAATTACGGCTTCAGATAATTAGCCCAGTCCTGCCCAGTTCCTTCAAATAAATATATAAAAAAATATCTTCCTTGTCCACTTAAAACTAATATTCGAATTCTTTATTCTTTTGTTAAATTGCGCGCCATAATTTTTTTTTATACAGCAAAATAATAACACAATACACGATATATCAGTACGAGTCACTCACGTCCGCAGGCGTTGGCCCTTTGATACCCTGCACGTGTCCCCCGGGTGGCGCTAACGAGTGACAAAGAGGAGCCCGTCAGGCGTCCTGGACTTCTTCCGGGTAGCTGACGGGCGCGGTGGTGGTGGGCTCGATCCTCCCTGCGGGGGGGGGGGGGGGCGTCGTTGCCGGGTCGTTGTTAACCCGGGTAGCGGCCGTGCCAGCGAGGGCGGTGGGCCGACTGGTCATGAAGCCATGATCAGTCGGTGCTTCGGCAACCACCGGCCGACCCCGTTACTCTGCAAGCGCGGAGCTGGGGTGGGGCTGCCCTTCATTGGGTGTCCTCGAGTGGAGACAACCACACTAAAAAACACCCAGCCCAAGATTGACGCGGTCGAGGGGTTCGTGGCCGGCGGGTATTGCCGGTCGCTACGCGTCCTCTGGAGGTGGGGAACGGACGACCCTCACTTTCAGGCTTGAGGCTGGTAAGAGTATAAAGGAGGTTAGTACAACCCCGTGAGTTGTTCAAAACTCGAGTGTCCACTGCATTGGAGGGGATGGCTAGGGTAACCAGACCAGTGATGTGCACTGATGTGCGCTTTTGATATGCGATATGCGTAACGCATTACTAAGCGACAAAAAAAAAAAAGATTCAAATTGAGGCATTGGAAACGCTCTCCATTCTAATGAAAATTTATTGCCCTTCACAATAGGAGTCGGAGGTACAGGCGTCGTCGAAGCGGGCGTCGGTGAAACGGGCGTCAGTGAAAGGAGTATCGGCAAGGCGGGTGTTGGGTCACAAACGGATGAATAAGGCGATTGAGGAGGCCACGCCATGGAAGTGTTGACGAAACCTTCCTCAACTTCTTCATTCTCTTCGTCCATATACATCCTTGCCAATCGGGGCATTACTTTGGACTGAATCACTACGCTCAGACTTCTGAAAATAAAAAATTATAAAACACAACTTACAAAAAATAAAAATTTGTTTGATAAACATAACGAGCACATCGACGACCAAACGGCCTGTGTACCGTTTGGTCGTCGATGTGCTCGTCCCGCTGTTCGCACCACATTCAACGTATCTGCAAAAATGCATTTTTTAATATGGTTATAACAATACAAAGAAAGAAAATGAACCGATTAAGTAGTTACAGGGCAGGTGATGGCACCGACGACGGGGCCTCTTGTTCACGAGAGATGGATGGAGTTGATGGAGTGATAATTTCCAAGGATGACCACAAAGTTTCTGATCTGAAAATAATTATTTTGCTACAATTTTAAATATATTTGATTATTTATAAAAGCAATCGAAAATAAATATAATATTTATTTTCAATATTATTATAAATAAATATTTAAAATAATCAGAATGCTAACCTTGAGCGTTTGGCCAGAGGGCTAGGGAGGACCCTCACCCTTTTAGGATGAATTGCCGTTTCCAACATACCACAGAATACTCTGAAATATTTGTTAGCATTTAAGAAAATATAAAATATATATCGAAAGAAATAAAAAAAGTTGAATTTAATCTGTTTTTAACCTGTCAGGAAGGCGACCGCCACCACGTCGCGCGTTCGCACTTCTCTAACACTGCTACGTGCTGCCATGCTGCCACGTGAAAGCATACCACGACTATCTCTAGCATGCCCACGACTACACCCACTGGTTTTGTGATTGGTGTTAGTACTATTTCATAAAAACAAGGCCACAAAAACAAACTGCATGCAAATTAGATATGTTTCATGTTAAAATATCACAAATTATCATTAAAATGCAAAAAAAAAACAATAGAAACATTTAAAAATATATCAAATGGAAAAAAATAAACATCTGATTTGAAATTCAAAAGTCACATCTATATTAGTTTACCAACAGCCATTTAGTGACAAAAATTCGCCTATCTGTGGTGAATCCCAGAACAGGTCTTTTCTCCTTTCCTTTGAGCTCGGAATTTTCGCCTTTACGATTAAAATACAAGTATTTTGTAATAATTTGAATGAAGTTTAATAATAGTGATCTTATCATACAGATTTGTTTGGGTTTTAATATTTTTTCAATCCTATATAATAAAACGAAATTCACATACAAAATTCGTACACTCACTTGGATGTTGGTTCAAAGACTATTTTTGGTTAAAATGTAAAGAATATATTAATTTTAGTTAATAAAAAGAAATATTACTTACTGTTCCATGATTTGTTCAGTAGAATTCACCAAAACTTACAATTATTTAATCAAACACAAACACCCATTCGCGGCAATCGTTGACAAAATCGTTCATAAACCGAAACATTGATTTCCAACTTTTTTTGTACCATAGTCGTTCTAAATTATATGCGAGACGGAGAGCCAATTCATTTCTAAACGATTCTTCATCACGTTTAAAATAAAGGTCCGAAAATAAGCAAGGTGATAAGACCGTGGCGCGTCTTGTGACAGGACACCTCACAGACGTGAGTAAATTACTGTCCCTGTAATCGGACGCGTTATTTGGTGCGTACAATTGGACGCGTACAAGAGGTGTTATTTGGATCTAAGAATAACAAAGGGAATTGTTCAATTTGTATGGGCACTTTGGCTTTGAGTGGACATTATCTACAGTTATAAAAAACTAAATTTTTTAATATTTCATATCTTAAAGAAGTTAACTATTGTAATATTTTCACGGGAAAGTTTAAGATTGTATATATAAGCATGTGTAGTATTCCATAAACGATGTCAAAAAAGTTATTTTTTTGTAAAATACTTTAATTAACTTATCATCATATTAATTTATTTATGTTACAAATAAACAGATGGTAAATAAAGAAATTGTAGATTTACTCATATTTACCTTTAATTTTACAATACAATTCTACAAGTAAAAATCTGTACTTCTAAATGCACTTATTTATAAGAATAGACTTTACATAAAACTTAATAAATAAATTACACTGCTCATACAGTTTCTCTTCAGCTGGAGACTGGCATTTGTGCAATCAAAAAAGCAGCTACATTTATATAACTTGGTCCCATGACGTCCTAATCTTTGAATCTTCCATGGCCTCTCCTGACTTGTGTTCAACCTCGAACACAACTATTCTCAGGATTTGTGCTCAACCTCAAGCACAACATTTATTTATGTCTGCGCCTATTAACAGAAAGGTCCATTTTAAAACACCTATCCAGTACATTTGTACTGAATAATAAATAAAAATTAAATATTGAACTAGGTACTGGTACAGTATTCCCACGCCTTCGCCTGTGTAAAAAGTAGCCTATATCATCCTCATGAAAGACGTAGCTTCCCGTAAAAGATTTTTTAAATCAGATTTGATTTTAACTGAATTAACTCCTGTTGAGACAGACCAAACCAAAAGCCCACAATGTATTCAGGCATTCAAGGTTTAGTTTCCCATGAAATAATTAAAAATATTTTTTACGAGAGTATTAAAAATATTTTTTTCAGTTTTAATAATATTTTACTGTTTACATAGTTTTTACTAATTAGCCTGTCCACCAAAAGCCAAAATTGAACAATTCCCTTTGTGTAATCTACACATTCCACCGGTGATGCTCATGGCACCTCAGTAATAAAGCGATGCGAGCATCACCGGTGGGATCAGTGAATATGTATGAGGCGTGGAAGCAATATTGTAGGTGAAGTATGGTGGGCAGCTAACGAGTTAAGTACTCTGTTTCGTTCTAAGCTTACTCTCTATAAATTTCCACCTGTGCGGAGTTTGGGTTGAACCATTTTTTTGGTTTTTTATAAAAGCTTACTATTCGTAATTGTAGTTGGGATCAATAACAGATGATGGTTTTAAAAACAAAAACACGTTATGTTAAAAAATCACTTTACTTCTCGCTCCACAATCAACAATCTGTCTATATTAACAAAAACAAAAATGGAGCATAACACTCGGAAATCGGACTCATACTAAAAATTACATTAAATCATATCACAGAGTATTTTCCTAAGAATTAGTGTTACCTTTCTTCATCTAGGTATTTTAACTTAAACTTCTAACAATTAGCTATTTCTTTATCGATATTTCATACGGGTTTTAATATTAAAATTAAAATTGGTGGATAAATTTAGATAGTACTATGTTTATGTAGTTTCATTTTAAAATACTCTTAACGAAAAAGAATGAAAGTAAAGGTTGACACTGAAGACAAATTTTTGTTTTGACATTATCTTTGGATATGATCTCTTTGCTAATTAGTAAATATTTGTGTTCTTTGTGTAGAAATATAAAGTGATTAGTTTTCCTTTAGACATTGAAAAGATATAAATGATTTAAGTAAATCTAATTTCTGCAATCATATGCCCAGTTTCGCCATTTTTCCTTCGCCGGCTTTTATGAGACAAATCGTTAAATTGAGAACTGATTTATAACTTAACAGTAAATAAATTGAAAAAAAAAAAATTTATTAAGTTGTTTAATAATTTAATCAATAGAACATTGAAAAGATATAAATAACTTTAGTAAGTCTAATTTCTGCAATCATATGCCCATTTTCGCCAGTTTTCCTTCGCCGGATTTTATGAGAAATCGTTAAATTGAGAACTGATTTATAACTTAAGATTAAATAAATTGTCAAAAAAAATAATTAATTTGTTTAATAATTTAATCAATAGAACAATGAAAAGATATAAATCATTTAAGTAAGTCTAATTTCTGCAATCATATGCCCATTTTCACCAGTTTTCTTTCCCCGGCTTTTATGAGACAAATCGTTAAATTGAGAATTGATTTATAACTTAAGAGTAAATAAATTGACAAAATAAAAATACATTAAGTTGTTTAATAATTTAATCAATAGATCACATGGTAGCAGTTATATAATAATTATTTGTATTGTAATCACCACGCAGTTATTTAAGAAGATCAGATACCTACCTTCTACCTATCTTCTCTTTAAAATTATGCTAAAGTCCACGCATATTATTGCATTCACAGTTAGTTTAAGCAATAAAAACTAGGGTTATATTTAAAAGAACATACCTACTAACCTAACAAACATATTTACCAATTAACCAGCAAAAAAGTATCAATTTGAATTTTGCGGTATAATTAATAATAAAATGTGCATAATTTAATAATTCTCTTAAATTAATATTTCACTAATTATCTTGAAAGAATTCACTTTTGCAAATTCCCTAATCGGTATAATATGATATATTCTCTAATCATTCAGTAAATAACCTTGTGGTAGTCCACTGTATATTATACGAGTATAATATAAATAATCTACATATTTTTGTACTTTCTTCTTGTTTAGAAATAATGTTAGTACGAGTACTTTAATGTCTTCATCATTCTTAGAAACTTGACAGAAATTTGCATAAAAATTAAATTATACATATTTATAAGACATTATTCGTTATGCAAGATTATTATAATAAAATTTGCCTTGTACAAAGCTTGTTTCTCGTTTTGAAATCTGACAGACAATACCATTTAATACAACTGTTGATATAGAAATTGTAATATTATTTAAATATTCACGATTACGATATGGCTGACAAATTAATGTTTACTTAAACTTGGGCAAATGTCGATTATAAATATTGTTGTAGGCGTTGTATTGTACGTTCTTTTTATCGTCGGCTTGATATTTGGCCAGGAGTAACGGCCATCCCTTCTCACTGTCTTGAATGTTTGGATTGGCTTCTATTCGTTGGCGTATTCGGGCTGCTTTTGCCACAACCTCTGCGTTCAACATATTTTCCAAATATCTAAGTTTGTGCGGTAAAACGATCTTGCAATACTGTAAATAAAATAATAAACAAATTTCTATGATACTGCATTCAATATCATTTAATATGCACAGATTTAATATGCGCACAGCAATTGCAATAGTTACATTAGCAATAATAATAAGACATATAACGTACGTAACAAAATCTTTATTGGTATTGATATAATTTTAAATTACGTTGCTCAATTCTAGTTAAAAATCAACAAGTGGCAAAAATTGATAACGTTTATTGAAAACGTCAATGCGTGGTAATAATCGATACTTTCAAAACTGTTTCAACACGGTATATCAAATGAATTTACTTTTAACTATATTTTTCTAAACAGAGTTTCGGATTTTTATTATTTGAATTTATTATGTAGTGTGAAAACATGTAGTTGCATTAATCAATTCTTCATTTACCATGTCATGACACGCAATTACTCTATACAGAGGCACACGCCCGTTGTTTGCAGTTCTCGAATACTGGCATATAGTGGAAGTTCTTGGTTTTATTTTATAGTGAGCTTTAACTGTGGTCTTTTCATTGTGAGTATAATCTCACATCAAGCAAGTTGATAAATGGGATATTACTTTTATTTATTTGACGGGACTTTCACGAACAATCACCGATCGAAAGTATTTTGTTTAATTTACAATACAGGTGAGTATTATTTGGAAATGAGAAATAAAAGCCATGTTCACATTTATGAGAACATGAAACTTACAAAAAAGGTTAGCAATAAAATAAAAGTATCTTACCGTTCCTGAGATATGTAACAAAAGGATTGAGAGTAAAAATGTTCGAAGTGTTGCCATCTCGGTGAACTCTATAGGTTTAGTTTAATGCATATCAAAAAATTCCATACTTTTGTTGGTTATGTTTATAAAACAACATTCTGAGAGTGTTTAAGAAACTGGTCCAACAACAAAAGAGTTTGCTGAATTGTACCTCAATATTATTGTGCTTTATTCCATTGAACTTGCTTTTAACGATTCTTAATTTATAAAGGTTCCAAAATGTTTCTGAAATATCGATTAGTGATCCAACGAGTTCGAGGGATTTGACTTAGTAGGTCATTTAGTAGAGGTACCTTCAAAGTACAATTAAAAGTTTCAATGAAACATGTTCCTATCAAATTTCTCAGTGTTTTGTTGGTCATCATAGTATCTTCTTATTTGCAAATTCTTCGAGAACTTTCAACATTTGTGATATTGGTCTAGCTCAGACGTAGAGTAGAAATAATGTCTAAAATACGAATCAAATGTTCTGATCAAATTGTATATACACAATATATCTGAGTTAAGGTTTTTATTAACTAAATTTGATGCGTCAAGTGCTTAAACGCATCGTAAGCACTTTTGTGGTTTATAGTAGGAGTGTAAATTAGTGCGAAAATAATACACTTTCGGCCTTAAATAGGGATGAGATATTCTCTATGAAAAATCAGGTAAACGATTAGCGTTACAAACTTTTTAATTAATAGGATAGAGTTGGTTATATCGTACCATTTTTTATTTCTTTTAATGCCTGTTTATTTTTGACACCAGATGATTTTTTGTAATATCTTTGTCTTTTAATAATAAATTAGACGATTAATTAAATATCTGACTGAGGAAAGATATTTAATTAATATCTAATAATAAAAATAACATGACTACTAATACACGAGACCAAATATAAAAAAGTATAATAATCAATAAGGGAAAAAATAGTTAAGAATTTGAAAAAGATTATCTTAACAGTCATGTCTGCAGATAAATAGTATCTAGCTGGTGGCAAACAAAATTAGAAAAGCTAAATTACAATTAAATTAATTCAAACACCTATTAATATTTTCAAGATTTCAGATTCACGGCTCACGGCATCTCTCATTAATTTGACAACGAACACTGGTTCCAGTCTATCTTTGAATCCTCCTTACCATAATGAGAACAACTGCATTTTCCACAAAGGTTTTCGGGACCGCCATTAGGGTCATGTTCATCGTAATCCAATTCCATAATAATTTTATCGACGAAATCGTCGCTTGTGATGGGTAAATATGCCCATTTCTGAATATCACAACATCTTCAACAACGTCACTACATAAACAGAAAACTTAGAAGAGGAAAGAAAATTAAGGTAAACGGCCCAGTAACAGTTAAGTTTTGAACTTCGCTAGCTTTGTTAGTCTGCTACACTAAAATTATTATGGTTACAAAATCGAAATTTACCTGATCTTATAGGTAATTAAGTTGAGTTCTTAAATAATTATTTTAATCCGTTTTAAAGTAAACGTTAATACATGATAATACAAATAAACATGAAAAAGGGCCAGTTGGCCCTGTACCCGGTAGATTTTACTAATAGACGTTAAACTGTCCTAGAATCCGGTATTTTCTAATGCGAATTTGAATTTTATTGCTTGAGGTTAAAGTTCATATTTTTCTTTACATATTGTGTTTCTTTTTATAAAATAAATAGGGCTCTAAAAAGAGCATATGAATGAAAAAATATTTTAACTAAATATATTTTAAAACCTAAATAATAATCCTAATAATAATTTCTATTTTCCATCTATTTATCTAAATGAACTTTACTATGAATCAAATTACGTCTGACAGGTATATTGTATAATATAGGGGATATGGTTGCTCCTTGCATTGTTCCCTTGTTAACTTCTCGTGGTTCGTGAAGTAAATTGTTATATGTTATACTTTTGTTATATTTTAAATACATAATCCTTTCATAAAGAAAATTAAATATCAAACAGAACTTGTGTTAGTACAGAGTTAGTACGGATCCACATTATCAAACGCTCTTTTAATATCTAGGAATGAACATACTGTTGCAGAATGACTAAGAAAAGATGATTTTATGTCATGTATTAATGTTGTTAAGCTCTCTGTTGCACTACGACCTTTCCGGAAGCCAAATTGTTCTGCAGGTAATAATATATTGTTACACTCTAAATAATAATCTAATCTTACTTTTAAAATATTTTCAAACACTTACGTTATATTATATTGTCAAGAAGGCCCGGACTTGTGTCTTTCCTAGATTTTAAAGAAATTTCAAGTTCTTGAAATGTAAATGGTTCTGTAAGAAAATGAGCACATTTTAATGTCCATTAAAGTTAAAAGCTGTTTCTAGATTAATAAAATCTATGTTTTATCCAGTAACTGATAATGGTGCATATTTTTCTAAGAAGTCTGAAATCCATTCATCATTCTTTGGCTGTTTCGGAGAAGATGCCTTTTTAAACCTTCTTATGTAATTCCAAATGTTACTAATTGGAGTATACCTATTAAAACTTTCACATAACTTCGCTCAACAATTTTTTTTCTTTTCCCTAAGCAGTAATTTTTTAGAAGCATCTATTTTTTTATACGAAATATAGTTTTCAATCGTTGGATTAGATCTGTAAAAATTTAATGCATCTTAACGTTTTAACTGCATCCTTACACTGATCAGCCCACCAGGGGGCGGGATTTTAAATAAGTGAGGGGATATAATTATTAAATTTCAGTTTTTATTTTTCTTTTAATTCATTTAGTATCATACAAAATCTTTCATAGGAGTTCATTGGATTAATATGACTTAAGACAACATTATCAAACGCATTTTCACTTTCTATTGAAAATCTTTTCCAGTTAGCTTTAGTATATATATATCGTTCAGTCGGGGTCCTACTACGTATTTTCAATAGAGACCTGAATATCGACAATTGTTGGGAAGTGATAGCATCCCATAGAATCTGAGTGTATGCTCCAGGTACATAAAGGAGCTACAGAGGGACTTATACAACTAACGTCAATTGCAGATAGATTATAGCCTGGCCGACCTACTGTGGTTGCTGAACCAGACTTTAAAATACATAAGTCACAATCATCAAATATAATGCAGATATCATTACCACGGCTGTTACATGTTAAACACCCAAATGCTACATGATGAGCATTTAAATCGTTTCTGACCCGTGGAACACCAAAGTGGTTCACCTAGGTGTTCCACTGTTAACTTTTTGTACCCCTGGTTCACCTAGGTATTCTGCCATTCAAAATAATGTACCCGTAGTTCATGTATTAAGTCACCAGATACGATAATTGGTTTAGGTAGATAATTAATGAATTTCTTAAGCTTATTAAGCTAATACCTTGGAAGCTGGGAAGGAGGACAATAAATACATAATAATGTTAATTTCCCAGTACCTACCAGTATATAAAATTATAGCGACAGATTGTAACTCTTCATAAAATGGAACTGATAATATGGAATATTTATGTGGGATCTTAATTAAAATTGAAACTCCACCACGACCACCCAATACCAATTTGATTAATGCTGTTGTAATTGGGAATACGGATATTGTGATTTTCTTTAAGCCAAGTTTCATTTAATAAACAAACATTAATATTATTATTGCGAAGGTAATTAATAAGAAGAGATTTTTTATTTTGAACACCTTCAATGTTATATTGAGATATTCTAATTAAACCTCGCTCCATTCGTGTTCAGATTTTAAAGTTTTTCATTAGAATATCTTGTATAACATTGCTAGTTATAGCTCTTTCCTCATTACCAATAGTGACTAGAACGCCAACCAAAGCCTTACGATTAAAATCGTTTTTAATAATTTCATCTATTAGTTTTTCGTTGGATAATTTTGGTACGGAGTCATTTGTGATATTGTCGGCGCTTGTTGAAGCACTAGTTACCGGGTTCGATTCCTGAATTTTCTTTGGAAGTGCGGGTCTGATTTTAGGGGTTGGAATAGTAGAGGGAAATTATTTTTATAGTTTTTTAGTACATAATTCTTATTGATGTTGTCTCTTCCAGACGAAACAGCCTTAGAATAAGATAGTTTGATTTTTGGCCTCTATTTTTTGTTTTTTTAACGGACACTCACGAGAAATCGCTAAATGGAGGCCTTGACAATTAATACATTTCATTGTTTTGTCGGTACACTGTGAAAAGTGATGCTCTTCTGAGCAAATTGAACATTTCTGGGTAGATTTGCAAATTTTCGCGCCATGATTGAATTTAAAACATTTGATACATTGTAGTGAGGGTGCATTATATTCATGAACTTTAAATCTAAATATATATAATCGAGGAGTACATTTGAAAGAAAAGTAATACTGACAGTCTTAAAAGTTTTTAAAACGCCATTCTCTTTTTTGGTGAATCTGCGAACGGCTACGATTTCATATGGTGTACTTAGTTTTTTAAATAGCTCTTCATTGCTGATGCTAGTGGGTATGAAACGTAGAACTCCTATAGTCTCAATTGCCGACGCTGGGATGTATTTCTTGAATTTATGTTTTACTAAGAATTCTTCATTTTGTAAAAAAAATGTTGGCGTGGTTGGATTGTGAGAAGGTCACATAAATTTTGTTTTGATTGACTCTTTTTATGTTTACAATGCTTTAACTTCATTTTTGAAAAGATTGGTCGTGACGATCGGGTTGTTGTTTCCTAGTCTTTCGTGTTCCTTGTAACTTTCGACGAAAACACAATACTCAGCACTCACCGCATTATCAGCAAAAAGTCTCTTATATCCGTGTTAAATGAAAGGTTTATAAAAATCTTCTGAAGCATCGCTCGTTCTGTTGGGAGCTTTTCGTTTTTCGATCCCGCCGGGCGGGTCATCCCCGTCTGGCATAATTATTTATATTTACAAATGTTAGTAATTATTTTACACTATTATTTACAGACATATACAAAAAAAGAAAATAAAATGAAATTATTAAAGAAAGTTTTAAAATTAGCGCTTAGTGCGTTCAAAAGCCCGTCAAAAAATCCCCGCCATTACATCTTTTCATAAGTGTTGCTATTATAATCGCATAAAATACTACCAAAAATAAATATTTCCATTCACAAATTTTAATTTATTGTGAGTAAAAATATGCAAGAATAAAATACTGAATAGTTACCGGGTACTGTGACGTTACCGGCAATACGTACTATAGTAAAATCAGACGATAAATCTACCTACCTTTAATATACAATTATATATATATAGTAAAATGTAGAATTTTGACTTACTTCAATTACGAATACAGGCAGTCCTCGACTTACGTCCTTTCGATTTACGTCGTTTCAAATTACGTCAAACAATGTTTTGACACTGTTCGTCAAGCAACATAAGCATACGTCAATTGTTTCTATTGCCGGCATAAAAGAAATCACTTGTCGTCCGTGGGGTTTTAATGTTAATAACAAAATTTGTGCAGCCTTTTAGTGTTACCAAGATCTGTATGATAGCAAAATAACTAGCAATTTCATGAGTACATTTATAATTATATAAAGTTTAATAACTTAGTATTGATAAAAAAGTATTTATATCCTTTGTTATAAATGTAGTTTTTTGTTTATTTTGAATCCGTGTGGAACCTAACACTTGAGTTTTACATGTAAACATATGAAAAAATATGTCTCGACTTACGTCGCTTATTTTGAGAACCTAACATGCCATAAGTACGAGGACTGCCTATATCAAAGAAATGACTTTTGTTTTTAATTTAGACATTTGTGATTACAATAATTTGCACCCAGCTGAAAATTGTTTTTATTTTTCAAAACACCATCATAAATAAAATATAATAGAGGATTTATCTGATTCAAACATCATGTGCCATTATTGGGGCAATTGACTTGCACCCAAGATGAAGGACAAGAACAAGAAGAAAAATAAGAAGAACATTCAAGAAGGATAAACTTTCTTATTCTTTTTAAATTTATATCGCTTAGATCACTTTTGTTATTTTAAAACCTTGCAAATATCGTTAATTATTCAATAGTTGTCAACTTTTTGAATCGTTATATGGCACAAACATTGTAACATAACACACATAAACTCGCAACACAGGAAAAACATCACACACTGGAAATATTGCTAAACCTGGTATGCAACAATATATTAATTTAATCCTAATTAATTCTGTAAAAAAATACGAACCTTAGTAATATCGAAGAAGTTAATATAAAGAAGAAGTTGGGTAT